CCCGCACACGCCGTGAAGGGGCATCCAAGAGGAAGCGCGCCATGGGCGGCGCCAAAGGCGTCGCGGGAGGCGTGGGGGAGGCGCTGCGCGGACCCGCGAGACCCAGGAGAGACCTCGGAGCATCCAATGCTCGCTCCGGTGCCTGATCCTGGTGGTGCACTCGGCTCGGCGCGCCCGGGCTTCTCTCAGTTCTCGGCCTGGGTCACGCCGCACACGCCCGTCTTCACGCCGACCAGGAGGTCCATGCTCTCGGCGTCCTGCGCGATGACGCAGCACGGGCAGCACCACGTGCAGACGAGGCTCATCACAACGTTCCTCTCCTCGCCCCCGAGCTTCCTGTTCATCGGCGTGCAAGAGTTCGCGATGAAGAGCGCGCAGCATGTGCCCCAGAACGGGAAGCACGTCATGATGCCGCACGAGATCCAGTAGTTGAGGGTCTCCGTGGAGTGGAACGTGTGCGAGGCGCGAGCCGCAGGGCAGCAGAACGACAACATGCAGTTGGTGGGGCTCACTTTCGTGAGCGAGCTGAGCTCGTTCTGGTCCTGCAGCAGCTTCGCCGGGTGCTCTTCGGGGATCGCCTCTGGGCCTTCCTTCACCACCGGGTACTTCGACACGACCGTGAAGTAGTACACGACGCCAAAGATTACCTGAACGATCCAGATGAAGCCAGTACCAGCCTCTGCCTCTTCCTCGGCGGCCAGTTCTGTGGACGATTCATCAGGACCCTGCTTCGACACCAGTACCGCGTATTCTTCGCCTCGGAAGCAACACTCCCGAGCTGGGTTGATCAAAAAACCTCCTCATTCTCCACCACCTCCTCATTGCTACCCGTGACTCATCATCATAAGTACCATCATGTGACCATCATGTTTACCATCCTCACCACCGTGATCAGCATCACAACAACCTTCGTCGTCATCATCGTCGTCGTCATCAAATTCATCATCCCACTTTCAAACAACTAATCACCAGAATGAGCGTGCCAATCACAGTGCGCTCGTGAAGACGGCCGCGCGCGGGGCTGTGAGTGGGCGCTGGGGCGCCGCTCGTTCAGCCTCTGGAAATAAACTTGCACGGTGCACGTAAGCATCCTTTCATTAACGCCTCAAACTGCTGTCCGACGCAAAAGTTCGTCAATCAGCTACACACGAGGCAGTGTCGGTATAGCTATGACGAGACCTACGCGTACGAACGATGCGGGCGCGACAAAAAAACATAACGCATCGCGCGTGCTTCTGAGTGGCCCGCCTCCCGCCGCCCACCCTGGCGGAAATCGGCAGGTGAAGCAGGAGGATGGGGAGATGACCCCTGTCCCACTCCCTGCTCTTGAGCCCGACATGTCTGGCTCGTGCTCTGGAGGGGAGGCTGTGCTGCGGCACCGCTCAAACGCGTGCTGTTGTAGCGGAACTTGCAGGGGCGGCCCTCTCCCAAATCCGTGCTGCGGTGCGGACCGCCTCGTGCCTGGACTCCGTCGTCGTCGTGGGCGTCGTCGTGGTCCTGGCGCGTGCTGCTCTGCTCGGGACTGGCTTCCCTTCTGAGCCCCATAAGCCCCCCCCCAGACACCGCTGGAACACCCCGGAGGTCCTTGACCCTATAGTTAAGTCGGGCCTGTCCCCCTACAGGGGGATGTTCGACGAAAAAGAAAAAGTATCCCAAACATAATCAACATATAATCCAAAAATAGCCTGGGGACTATTTCGGGGGTATTTTTTTGCTTGTTCTACTTTTTGGGGCATGTTTGGGGTATGTCCTATTCTTCGTCGAGGATCCCCTTGTAGGGGGACGCGCCCGACATGACTCTGCAGCCCTGGGGGAGAGAACCTCGATCCGCCTGCCTGGCCCGGGCGCCGGCGCGGCGAGGCCCCCCGCTGAGCTCCCCGCAGACGGCCGCGTAGCCCGCGGAGCTGCTGCCGTTCGCCGCGCCCGCCCGGCGCGCGCGGGCCAGGCGCGAGGAGAAGGAGAGGCAGTCCAGGTGCTCGGCCGAGCCGTTGGTGACTACCTACCAGACCACCCCAACCCAACCCGAAGACCCGAATTTCGGGTTGGGGGGGGGTATGGGCTCCATATGTGTTTTTTCGACGTTCCCGGCCCGGACCCCCCCCCCACTGGAAATGGAGGGCAAAATGAGGCCTTCGGGTTGGGTTGGGGTGGTTTGGTGGGTGGTGAGTTCGCCTCGGGGAGTGACGAACGAGCCACACACACCCATAGCAACACAGTCGGGGCGTTGACCCAAGGGAGCCAGAATAAGGAACGAGGCCCCTCTTTGTCCCGTGAGTGAAGCTTCGGTTGCACATGGAAAACCGTAGGCAGCCCCAGGGCAAACTGCAAAACAATCAAGGAACACCGAGCCCCTCCCCAACGGAAAAAGGTTCCTTCTTCAGCGCCCCAACTGTAGGGAGGTCGGAAGGAGAAGGACTGGCTATGGGTATGGGTACGGGTTGTCGGACCTCTGGGGAGGCTCCCGTTCGAGCGGGGACCCCTGTCCGACAAAACACGCACCCATAGCTCATTCCGTCTCCCCCATGGGTATGGGTGCGTGTTGATCGTTCGTCAGGGAGGTGCTGGGAGAGCTCGGCAGGCAAGCTGTCCGTGTGGCACTCCAAAGGTGGTCAGACTCATGTCTCGGCGCTGGTTTCCGTGACTGCGCGGATCGGTCAACCAAGAGATGTCGGCGGCCTTCCTATCGCCAGATCGCTCCAATTTGGCCGATTCTGAGGCACTGACAGCGTTCAAACTTGAACGCCCGCGGCGGGGTCGCTGCCGCGCCGGCACGACACGAACCGTAGGGTCGATTTGGGGTTTGTGGGAATATCGAGTTTGTGAAATCTCTGAGCGCTTTCTGAAATCAGATGTTGCCCGGTGGAGGTGCAAGGGAAGAGAGGGTGATATATATATATATATATATATATATATATGTATATATATATGTATATGTGTATATATATATATATATATGTATGCGGATCTGGGAAATTATCCACGTAGGATTGCCAATTTGCCCCAGCAGGTCGCGCGGGGGTCACGGATAAGACGCGTTCATGGCTACTAGATGATGTCCACGGCTCGTGGGAACTTCAAGATTGCCTGCTTGTGTCTGTGATTGCGTTCCGTTGTGAGCGAGATTGCGTTGTTGCTTGCTTCCCACATGATGCATGCTTTTCTGCTGGTGTCTGAAACTGCGTTTCCTTGCGTGAATATTGGCATTGATACGTGCTTGCGTGAGCGCTTCCTTGCGTGCGTGCGAAACTTCAGAATGGCGTTCACTAGTGCACGGCTGCTTGTGTGTCTGACTGCGTTCGCACCTGCTCGCGTTAGTGCGGGCACTGAATTGCACATTGCTGATGCCTTTCGACGTGCGTACATGCGAGATGGCGCTCCTGATCCCTTGCTTGGATATCGTGTGCTCGCGTGCTCGCGTATCGCTTTGCTTGCGTGCATGGTTGCCGCCTTGGTTACTGACTTGGCTGCCTGCTTAGTTGCCTGCTTGATCGCGTGTGCGACTGCTCGATTGCGTGTGCGACTGATTGCGAGTGCGACTGTTTGCCTGCATGGGTGCATGCCTGCATGTCCGGGTGCGCGCACGTTCGCTTGCTTGCACGCCTGCACACACGCGCGTTAACTTGTTAGCGTGAGTGCGGGCCTGCTGGCCGGCATGCTTGTTGTTTGCTTGCTTGCGTGCGTGCCCGCCTGCTTGCTCGTCGAACTGCACGCATGCCCGGGGGACTGGCATGCAGTCCAGAGGGTTGGCAGGACAGGGGAAGGGCGGGGCATGGAGGCATGTGGCGGAGCAGGGCATTGCAGGGTGGGTGCAGGGTAGACCAACGCAGAGCAGGTCTGGGCATGCCCAAGGCAGCGCGAAGCTAGGGCAAATGCGTTGCAAAGAGGCATGGCGAAGGCAGCCCACGATGGGGCCGGCACGACTGCTTTTCGTAATCCCGCCAGCCCTTTAGGGCGTAGGTGATTTAGGGTGTTTCCTCATCTACCCCCTTCTTCCCCTTCGGGGAGGGGTTTATCACTGTTCCCTATTACTATGCACCCCCTCCCCCAGGCGACTGGGAGCCAACCCGAGAACATGCGGGCCCCCACCACCATCCCTTTTAAGAAGCAATACAAAACACACTCTGCCTCCAAATTCGGAGCACGCGCAGCGAACCCGATGCGGCCTACCCCCACCATCCTTGTCAAACAACCATCCAGAGTACACTCGGCAGCGGCGGCGGCTGCGGCGGCTGCGGCGGGGGCAGCGGTTGCGGCGGCTGCGGCGCGGTGGCGGCGGCGGTGGCGGGGGGGGGCGGCGGCGGCGGCGGCGACGGCGGCAAGCGACGGCGGTGCGCGGCGGCGGCGGCAGCGGTGGGCGGCAGCGACTTGCGGCGCAGCAGGCTGCGGCGACGGCGACTCCGGCAGCGGTGCGGCGGCGGCTGGGTGTTGCGGCGGGAAACGGCGCGCGCCGGCGGGGCGGCGCGGTGGCGAGCGGCGTGCGGCGGACAGCGGCGGCCGGCGGCACGGCGGCGCGCGGCAGCGCCGGGCGGCGGGGCGGCGGCGGAAGGCGGCGGCGGCGTTTCCCACAGGTATCTGCCCATCCAAAGGCGACTCTGAATATGCTGGGGTTCGGCCAGGTTCGGGTGCTACGTATGTGTCCGGAGGGCGGGCGGCGGAATGGGAGTGGAACTACGCTTCGGGCGGGGAGGGAAGTCTTGATCACTGTTCCCTATTCATATACACCCCCTCCCCCAGGCGACTTGGAGCCAACCAGGGACAATGAGGGCCCCCCCCCACCATCCCTTGTAAAAACAAACATTACAAAACACACTCTGCCTCCAAACTCGGAGCATGCGCAGCGAACCCGATGCGGCCTCTCCCCACCATCCCTATCAAAAAACAATACAGAGTACACTTGGCGGCGGCGGCGGCGGCGGCGGCGGCTGCGGCGGCTGCGGCGGGGACAGCGGCGGCGGCGGCTGCGGCGGTGGCGGCGGCGGCGGCAGCGGTGGCGGCAGCGGCTGCGGCGGCAGCGGCTGCGGCGGCGGCGGAACAGCGGCGGCGGACGGCGCGGCGGCGGCGGGCGCGGCGGGCGGCGGCCGCTGGAGGCGGGGCGGAAGCTGCCGATTCGCCCCAGAGCTGCCCTGAGGCCTGGCCACTCTCGGGGTGCTATGTATTGTTGGGAGGGGAGGGGGGAGGGTAAATGGGGGTGTGGGGGAGAGGGCTTGGAGAGGATTGGCGTGTGCGTGGGGTGAGGGAAGGGGAGGGGTGGGGGAGGTGGGGGGGTGGGGGACAAGGTTAGTAAAAGGGCGTGGGAGTGAGCTGGACGCTTGCGGCGGGCGGGGAGGGATTTTTTTTGCTCCCCCTACCCCCTACCCCCTCCCCTGGACCTGGAGAGGGCATGTCGCGGGTCGCCTGGGCGTCCAAAACGGCCTCGGCGAGGAAGCCACAATCACTTGTTTTACCAAGGTTTTGGCTCCATTTGGGCCTTCTGGGGGGGCGGCGCTGGGCCCCCTCCTTCTTTGATCAATCTCCTCCGAGATGGCCCCACGAGCGCTCCCAAGGCTTCCAAAGACGCCCCAAGGGGGCCCCAAGAGGAGGCCCCAAGAGGCGACCAAGAGGCCCCCAGGATGCCCCCAAGAGGCTCCCAGGAGACCACCAAGAGGCCCCCAGAGGCCCCCCAGAGGCACCCAAGACGCTCCAAAAGGCCTCGGCGACAATGCCAAACTCACTTATTTTATTAAGGTTTTGAACGCGTGTTGGCCTCCTGGGGGGGGTACTGCTTACGATGACTCCACAAGCGCCGGGGAAAGCCCAAGATGATCTCCAAGATGGCTCAAGATATCCCAAAGTGTTTCAAGATGGCTCCCACGATGCTCCAAGTGGCCTCAAGACCGCTCCAAGACGGCTCCCAGTGGCCAAAGAGCTCCCTTAGGAGGCCCCGAAGAGGCCAACATCCTTCCAAAACCTTGGGAACATCAATGTGTTTGACTTTCTCGCCTTTTCGCTTCCGATGGGCATCTGAGGCCTCAAGATGGCTCCTAGATGGCCCAAGAGGGCTCCAAGAGCGCTCCCAAGGCTCCCAAGAGCGTCCCAAGAGAGCTCCAAGAGGCGCCCAAACAGCCGCAAGAGGCCCCAACAGGCGCCCAAGAGGCCTCCAAGAGGCTCTCCACAGACCCCCAAGAGGCCCCAAGAAGCTCTCTGAGGCACCCAAAACGCTCTGAGAAGTGTCCAGGGCCGCTAAGAAGATCCCAAGACGCTCCTAGAGGCCTTCACTGGGGGACCCTTCCTCTGTGTGCTGCCCACTTCCCTGTTCGAGGCAATTCCTCTGGGCATCGTTTCTGGATGGGCTGGTGGGGTTACTTTTTCGGTCGCGGCCGCGCGACAAAGGTCTGACGGCGAGAGGCAAAGTCCGGGGCAGGCGGCACGATGCGAATTTGCGAACACTGCCGCCACGTTGGCAAGCCGGTTCGCACCTGCACAACAAGTGCGCAATTGCACACGCACAGAACAACATGAATTAAATTCACAAGCAAACGCACATAGGCGCCGCAGAGTGAACCGAAGTGAACAAGCGGCAGCAGAGTGTGAAAGCGCAGCGGAATGAGTCGCCTGTACGGCGCCAAACTCCAGGCCGCCGGCCCAGCTGGTTGGGAAACTAATACCCGGGAAGCCGGGCAGACCGCGGTGGAAAACACGAGGCAAAGCGAGCGCGGAAGGCTAAACCACTCAGCGCTCAGTCCTCAGAATCCTCCGCTCAGCCGGGGGGGTCAACGGTACCAAAACGCATCGAGTCCGGCGCCTGCAGCGGATAGGCCCAAGGGTGGACGCGACGATGCGCGGGGAAAACCACAGGCTGTACATAGGCTGCAACACTCAGAGCAAGGCCCTCCGGAGCACAACTCCCAGTGCCGGTGGAAGCCAGCGACTGCCCAAGCGCCAATGTGCCGTCCTGCCGCGAAGAGGTCCGACGGGATGCAGAACCGCCGACATCGCTGAGGGTCGGCCCGTGGGGTGGAGACTTCAGCGCTGCCAGACAGACGGGCCCTTCTGACCTGGCCACCACGGCCGCCGCGGGCGAGCCCCGAGGGCACGGTTGGGGGACACCCACCGGGCCGAAGCAGCGGGAGGCGCGACGTCCCTCACCGCGGCCAGCCCGCAGCAGAGCTGGGGGGCGTCTCCAGTCAGCTGGTGCGCCCAGAGGTGGATGCAACCCGCGGAGAGCACCTTCGCAGTGGAAAGGGGGGGTGCAGCTGACCGCCGCAAGAAACAAATAACTTTGTTAGCTGCTGCACGCCGAGGGCACCTGAGTATGAGGGGGGCGCAGCTGACCGCCGCAAAACACAATTTACATCGTGGGGGGGTGGCAGAACCTCGCCGCTGCGGTCCCAGCTGGAGTGTGCCAGCGGCAGGACGCGTCCCATGGGGGGCTCGTGTGTCGCAGCCGCACGCACCGTAGCTGAAGCTGCAAACTGGGGCCTGGGGCTCCCAGCCGGGCGGCGTGCAGGGGGGGAGCTATTTCAGACGACTTCCCCCTGCCACCGAGAAAGGGCGGCTGTCACGGCTGGACAGCAAGGGGGGGTGCGCAGGAGGGATGCATCTGCTGCCGCCCCCTTGTCACCGAGAGAGAGTGGCTGTCGCCTTGGGACAGCAAAGTAGGTGATCCCGGGACCGGTGAGGCCTGCGGGCTAGTCCCCAGCTGCTGAGGGGGGGTGAGATGTCCAGGCAAGGTCCACTTCTCCAGTGTGGGCTGTCTAGCTAGGCTGCGCCATGGGTGAGATGTGGGGGGGCCCCCGCCCCAGCGGGAGTTGCCCCAGGATATTACGGCCGAGGCCGGGCGCTGCGAGGTGAAACCATCCCCGGCGGGGAGAGGTGTGGGTGACGTGGGGGGAGGCGTAGGCGACGGGCCGGGAGGGCAGGGGGCGCGCTGACAGGCTGACCGGACCCTGCTAGCCCTGGGCGTACGAGTCCCCAGGCTTGTGGGGTCACGCGAAGCGTCTAGAATTGACTTCTTCTCTCTCCTCTTCCTCTTCCTCTTCCTCCTCCTCCTCCTCCTCCTCCTCCTCCTCCTCCTCCTCCTCCTCCTCCCCCTCCTGCTTCCTCCTTCCCGCTTCTTCCCCCATCCCCCCTCCGCCCGTAGATGCTCAGACGTAAAAGAAAAAAAAAGTAAAAAAAAAAAAAAAAAAAAAAGAAAAATAAAAAAAAAAAAAAAAAATAAAAAAAAAAAAAAAAAAATAAAAGAAAAAAAAGGTAAAAAAAAAAAAAAAAAAATAGTAAAAACATAAAAGTAATAAAAAAGAGAAAAAAAAAAGAAGAAAAAGAAAATAAAAAAAGACGTAAGAAAAATAAAGAATTGATCTCTTATGCCATCGCTTGCTTCAGTACGTGTTTAGAGCGTCCGCCGATCGAAATTTTAGAAAGTGTAGGCGGTTCAGGGGGACCCTATGGTCCAAGGCCTGAGTCCGGGGAGTCCTGGTGTGGAAAATCTAGAAGGAGAGGATAGGAGGAGGGGGAGAAGGTGGAGGGAGCAGGAAGGGGAGTGAGAACGGAGAGCAAGAAAACAACGAGAAAAGGAAGAGGATGGGAAGGGGAGGTCACATGTTAGGAGGGGGTGGAGGAAGAGGAGGGGGACGAGCATCAGGACCAGGTGAGGAGGAGGAGGAGGAGGAGGAGGAGGACGCAAAGGCCTTCGTGAACAGAGCCCTCTCGGAGCACGTGCTGTTCAGCGCGGCCTCCAGTTGGACGTCGGACCACGACTCGTTCAGGCCGCCCAGGCTCCTCGCCAGGAAGCCCGCGCACGCCGGCCGTGCCGCCGCCGTGGCGTTGCCCCCCCCGCCGGCGCCGCCAGCCTGTGAAGGGGCACTATGGGACACACAAAGAAGCATGCACGAATGACAGGAATTCCCCATGTATCTTCCCTGTTATCTTCTGGGCTTCTGTCTCCCCCCCCACTTCCCATGTTTCCCCATATTTTCTGGGAATCGACGATTCGTTGTGTCTGTGTGTTCTTTCTTATCTTTTCTGCGAATCGACGATGCATTGTGTCTGTGTGTGTTTTCCCCTCCTAAGGCCCGGAGGAAGTCCACCACGGCGGCGGCGGCCTCGGCCGGGCCCGGCGGTGCCGCTGCCGAGGGCGCGCCGAGCAGGCCGTCGAGGAGCCGGTGTGCGCCCGCGGAAAGCCGGGCGGCCGCGCGCACGCGGGCCGCGCGGGCCCCGCCCGCGGACGCCGCAAGCAGCGCCTGAGAGGGGGTCCAGGTCCCGCTCCCGCTCCCGCTCCCGCTCCTCCCGCTCGTCCTCCTCCTCCTCCTCCTGCTCCTCCTCCTCCTCCCCCTCCTCCTCCTCCCCTCCTCAACGAAAAAACCCTCCTCCTCCATCTCCTCACTTTCGTCTCCTCCTCCTCCTCCTCCTCCTCCCCCCTCCTCCTCCTCCTCCTGTTCCTTCCTCCCTCCTCCTCCTGTTTCCTCCTCCCATCCTCTCCTCCTGTTCCTTCCTCCTCCTCCTCCTCCTCCTCTCCTCCTCCTCCTCCTCCTCCTCCTCCTCCTCCTCCTCCTCCTCCTCCTCCTCCCCTCCTCCTCCTCCTCTTCCTCCTCCTCCCCCTTCCTCCTCCCCATCCTCCCCCTCCTCCTCCTCCCCCTCCGTCCTCCTCTCCTCCTCCCTTCCCCCCTCCTCCTCCTCCCTCCTCCTCCTCCTCCTCCTCCTCCTCCTCCTCCTCCCCCTCCCCCTCCTCCTCCTCCTCCTCCTCCTCCCCTCCTCCTCCTCCTCCTCCTCCTCCTCCTCCTCCTCCTCCTCCTCCTCCTCCTCCTCCTCATCCTCCCCCCCTCCTCCTCCTCCTCCTCCTCCTCCTCCTCCTCCTCCTCCCCTCCTCCTCCTCCTCCTCCTCCTCAGTGTTTGCGATCAAGCGCCACGAGGAGGCGGCCGGGAGTGATGCTGCCGCGCCGGCGGCACATGCTGCTGCTGGGCATGCGGCTCGGCCGCACGCAGGAGTGCGTGGTCTCAGGCGAGGAGTGCCGATGGTGCGGGGCTTTTCAAGTGGCCGCGGGGGTGGAGGGGGCAAGTCCAAGCGCGCCCGCCAGCGCTGGGGGGGGTCCCCTGTGCAAGGGTGGTACGGCGACCCTCCTGCCCGACTTCGGGGTGGCTCTCGACTGGATCAAAAGTTGAGGTACCAACCCTGGGATATACAATGGGGGGGCGTCCATCCCCTTGATAGGGGTGCGTCCGAATAGCCCCCTGGGGGTGTATCCCTGAGTTCCCCCCCCTCTTCTGAACGGCCAGACTCTTCGGGCAGAATTCAAGGATTCGGGGAGAGAAATCGCCTGCGTCTGTGGGCCCGCACCAAAAGGTCACTCTGGCGAGGGGCCACTTCTGCGCGTAGACGATCGGTTGGCTTCGTTCGGCTTCACTTGAAGGGCGCGGGCGGCGGGCGGCCCTTTGAGCTCGAGCCACGACGGCCACGGGGGCCAGGTGCCGGGGGAGATGACGGACTGCTCCCGCGAGAAGAGGCAGGATGGAAGAGGGATCCTGACCAGTCTGCCAGGTCTACGAGCAGGCCGCCATCTGGCAGTCCTTCGGGTTGCGCCACATAAAAGTCTGCCATAACCTTCACTACAAAATGCGCAGCGCACCCTGCGGGCAACCAAATCGCTCCCACAGTCGGTAACCCAGTGGGTCTGCCATCGGTTGCCCTATATGGGGTTGCCATATGCTGTTCCAAACACCTGGCGGGCAACCGAACCGTCCGTTCCCGCATTCGGTATACCAGTGCGTGTGCCATCGGTTGCGCCATATGCGGGGGTTCCCCGCGAACGACCTAAGCGTCCGTTCCCACATTCGGTGTCCCAATGGGTCTGCTTCTTGACCATTACGAAAGTTCCTCATCTGGATACGACTAGGGCGTCGCCGAGCGGGGCCCCCCTTCCCCCCGTAGACTCCTAGCACGACGGCCTTCGGCCTGTCTGGGCGGGCGAATTTTCCAGGGCTCTCCCTGGTGTACAATTAATGTTATAAGACCAAGTCATGTACAAGGGAGAAGTCCCCCCCAGCCACTTCCATGCAACTGGGAATATCTCCCCGCATGAAATCACGACGAGATAATCACTACCAGACTACTCCTGACAAAATCGCCCAAACATGACCATGATGACCAAGATTCGTAAACTTTCGTGACGGGGATGCATCGACTGCAACAAACACCACCTGGGCAACCAAATCGCTCGTTTCCGCAATCCGTGCACCTGTGACATGACTGGGAACTGGTACAGCATGCGCTGTCGAACGACACATACCTATCGGCACTAGTTGCGGTTTCGGGTCTTGGTCTGCCGTGCCCGAATCCGGAGCAGCCCCCTCAGTCCAACGCTGGTCTGCGGAACCAGCCGACCCGAGGACAGGCGCAGCCTACGGCTCGGCAGCTGAATGCTGTAATGCCCACCGTCCGCTGACTCCTCCTTCTAAGCTCTGTCGATGTCGCTGCCATTGCTGGCATCCAGCATGGCTGCACGCTCTCCGTACCATCTGCCACCGCCACCGCCACCACCTCTAGCATCCAAATCATCACCCAAAACTTCCCAAATCCAACGCCAATCGCTGCCTGTCCTCACCCCTTTCCTCCAACCTCCAATTCTCCCCTTGACCTCCATACTCATTCCGTCCCGGATCACGTCTTATGCTCAAACCGGACCTACTCGCATCGAATATACAAATCTTAAAGCGAACAAGAAACATAACCCGGACAATACCATAGCCCCAGCAGTTGCGAATATGCGGCCAGGTCGTCGGCAGTCTGCGAGGCTCTGAAGAAGCCCACCGCAGGCGCCGACTTGCTTTTACACATTGCACAACAAGCCTGCCGCAGGCGGCGAATTCTCGTAACAACAATGTGGGTGGTGTCGCGGGTGTAGCGGGTAGGTCGCCGGGCGGGTCGCGGGGTGGGTCGCGGGCTGGGTCGCGGGTGGGTCGCGGGTGGGTAACGGGCGGGCTGCGGGCGAGGAAGACAACAACAGCAATCACTTTGAGACTGTTCGCTCCGACCTGCTCGCGTGCCGCTCAAGATGTATATCCCAAACCCTCGGTACCCGCCCACTTCGTCTTCGATCGTACCCCCTTGTGGGTATATCTTCCTTACCTGCCAGGTGCATTTAGCGCAGCCCTTTCAAACAGGGGAAGAGGGGACGGATGAAAGGGGAAAGGAGAAGGATGGAGCAAGAGAGAAATTAGCAGGAGGCGGGCTAGGAGCAGAAAACGCGTGGTATAACCAGACGGGCAGATCGGGCGGGCAGACCCTAGCGGGGGAAGGCGGGCCCAGGTGGCCAGGTCAAGCAAGCGGGTTGCTGAAGCGTGATTCCTGCATGAACCGCGAGCGAGAGCGTGATTCTTGAGTGTCGAAGGCACGGCGTCTGAAGAAGTTGCGAGGAAATCCCACGCGAGAGCGCGATTCCTGCATGCATTTTGAGGAATTCCCGCGCGAGAGCGCGACTTCGGAATAATTTGTGAGGAAGTATTCGGCTGGAGCCGTTGTTGTTGTAGTTTGGGGGCCAGGGGGCCAGTTTGACCTTCAAGAGTGCCCCAGGAGGGGCGCATAAAGTGGAAACATACAACATGCGCCAGAGGAGGATCAACAATTCTTATCCTTCCACTAAATGAGTTCAACAAGAACAGCAGCAGCAACAACAACACACCACCAACAACAACAACAAAAGCAACAACAACAACAACAACAACAACAGCAGCAACAGGAACAGGAACAGCAACAGCAACAGCAGCAACAACAACTACAACTGCGACGACAACAACAATCGCACCAACAAACAATTTAAGACTGTCCGATCCTACCCGCTCGCATGCCATGCAACATGTATACCCCAAAACCTCCATACCCACCCTCTCCGTTTCCGCTCGTGCCCCCCTGGGGGTGCACCTCACCCACCCACCACGTGCAGCTGGCGCAGCCCCTATAGAACAAGGGAAGGGAGGGAGGAGATGAGGAAGGGGGAGAGAGAGAACAAGAGGGAGCACGGGAGATACCAGCAGGGGGGAACAGGAGCAGGAAAAACAACGGCAAACCCCGGCGGGCGGGTCGGGCGTGCGGACCCTGTCGGGCGGGCCGGGCGGGCGGACCCACCAGGCCGGGTCGAGCGGGCGGGCCGCTGAAGCATCGGTCCTGCACGGATCGCGAGGAGTCTCGAGCGATGCCGCGACTCCCGGACAAATCTCACGGGTGACCAGATCTCAAAGACTCTCTCACGCGAGAGCGCGAGTCCCGTGTGCAATGTGAGGACGGCCCGCGCGAGGGCGCGACCTCGAAGGAATGAGAAAGAAATCCCAGGTGGGAGCCGTTGAATTACAAAACTGTTGGACCCCCTGGGGAGGCCTTTTGCTGTGCTGGGACACGTGGTCGGGGAGCGCTCTTTGCCACCCCCCCCCCGCCCCAACGAGGCTCCAGGAAACCCCACGAGGTCCCAGGCGGCACATGCATGTCATCTGTGTTCCAGGGGTGCTTTTCGGCCCACCCGTGGGCTTCGCCCCCATGAGCTTCGCCGCCGCTCTCCTGTGGATCGCATGCGTTGTGGGTTACGCATGTTCCTCTCCCTCTCGATCGCAGTCTTTCTTTCACTCGCTCTCTCTCTCTCTCTCTCTCTTTCTGTCTCTGTCTCTGTCTCTGTCTCTGTCTCTCTCTCTCTCTCTCTCTAAATGCATGTATACATATACACATACTAGAAGCATCGCGCGCGCTTCGCGCGCGCTCAAATTCTACCTAGGCTTAATGGGCTAACTCATGGAATATCACGTTGGTCTTTCCTTGCATCCAGGGGCTCTCTTGGAGGCCCTGGGCAAGCCTCGGAATCGCATAGAAGGGGAACTGCAGGAATGCAGAAATCATTACTTCCCGTTCGGTATTCAACGATTTTGGGCCCTCAAAAGCTTCCTGGGTTGTTTTTGGGGAGCTGAGGTGTGCCATAATTCTAATCTGTTGTGCAAAAATAGACAGGGGGGGCGAACCTAAAAAAATGGGATTCCATGTGTTGTTCAAGTTGCCGTGCCTGGGCTGTGGGTTCGGAATATCTGGATGTAGGCCACGGTCTGTTGGGATGCCTCGCGTGATCTTCGTGCCAAAATAGGCTGGGGTGAGTTCGATATGTGTATAAGTATATGTGCGTGTATGTATGTGCGTAAATGTATTGCTTGTTGTTCAACTCATGAGATCATGGGATCTCGATTTCTACGGTGGTTTCAGGGGCAGACATGAGAACACGAAGACGATCCAAGAGAGTGCCAAGACAGCGTCAGAGAGTTCAACTGCATTCCCGAACAACCTTCGCATGTGACCCCGAAGTCTTGATGGGGCACGAGGAAAACGGATATGGAGTAGGAGTCCCAACTTGAAAAAAGGGAATCTCTGGAATTCCTTTTTTTCCGTTCCTCGGTCTTTGAAGTCTATTCGAAGCTATGGCAGCCTGGAGAGCCGACCGAAGGCTATCATGGGTTGCTTGGGAGCGTCTCGGGCCGTTCTTTTACACTCTGGAGGCTTCTTGGGGTCGTCTTGGGCTGCCCTTGTCCGTTTTGGGGGTCCCCAGGGCCGGAACGCGCGGTACCGGGAGCGTTCCGCAGATATTCCGGGAAGGTGTGGGACCCACGGGAGGGGGGGGTGGAGTATTTGTTGAACTTGAAAAAAAGGAATCTCAAGAATTCCCTTTGTTTTTCAAATTCCTCGGTCTTTGAGCGTTGGAAGCGGGAAAACGTGAGAAGACGAACAACGTAGACAAAAACCATAGGGAATCAACGATTTTACCCTTTTCGGGCTTTCTCGGGACGGCTCTCAAAGCTCTCTTGGGCTGTTTTCGGGGCTTCTTTGGGGCCTCTCGGGGGCCTGGGGTGTGCTTGGGGTCTCTGGGGCGTCCCGGAGTCCTCTCGCTTGGACCAATATTTGGCCTGTTCTGGGGTGGTCTGGAACTGTCCTGGGCGCCTCTTCGGCAATCTTGGGGGCTTCTTGGCCCGTCTTGGGGCCGTCTTGGCGGCCTCTTGGGCGGGCGGTCTTCGGGGCCTCTTCGGCCGTCTTGGAGCGTTGGAAGCCTGAAATGGTGAGAAGGCCAAAAACCTACAAAAGCACATGGAAATGAACGGTGTCAGGTTCTCGGGGCGCTCTCTTTCGAGGTCTCTTGGAGGCCGCCTGGGAGCCTGGAGAGCCGCCCGAAAGCTATCTTGGGTTGCTTCGGAGCGTCTTGGGCAGTTCTTTTACGTTCTGGAAGCTTCTTGGAGTCGTCTTGGGCTGCCTTTGGGCGTTTGGGGGCTCCCCGAGATGCCGGGAAGCGCGGTATCTGGAGCGTAATCCAAATGTGATCGAGGTTGAGGACGCCCCGGGAGGGAACCCGGCCTATTTGTTTATATATATATATATATATATATATATATATACATATATGTGTATGTATATGTATATATATACA